CCGCACCTGACGCCTTCCCCACCACATGCGCCCTACCAGCGTGGAAGGGGATCTTTCGAAAACGCCTTCGGGATAACAGAGTTAGTAGTAAGTTAGTTGTTAACTAAGAGTGGTCGAGTTCTTAAGTTCCGAGGCCGAGGTTCGGTCAAAAGAAAAGGTCTCTTCCAGATCGCGATTTCCAATTCAAATTCAAGTCCAACAAATTTCCCTTTTCTATTTTCTATTAGTAATTTCGTCTAGTTATATAAGTAGATTGTACTTAACCGCGTTAAATACTAAGTTGTGGCATAAGCTTAATTGTGTACTTGATGTAATTTAGTAATCATAAAATATAAAAGTTATTCTTTTTGAACATATACAAATAGGGGTGATCCCGATTGACCACTGTTCAAGCAAGCTCGAATACGTCAAACACAGCCAATTCAAATAACGCGCCGCAAGCACAACTTTCTTTTATGCTTAACGCGACAGCGCATGATCGAGAGCGCGATCAGATTGGCAGGCGCTTTGGAGCGTCCCTCGTTCGTTTCCTTCCGCTCTTTATTATTATTCCCTTGGTAACGTCAACGTTTACACACATATGTCAAAAAGGAAACCGAAGACTGATACCTTATCACGCCCTTTCGAACATTTATTGTTCATATCAATTAAAACGATTCAAGGTAAGATCATTAAAGATCCCTTTGCTTCTTGCTGCACAGAATCAATCTGATACGTGTCTCTATCACACGTATCCATTATTCCATGTTTGCCTGACGAACGGTCTCAGGCGGTGGGTCGCTACCACCAATGGGTGTCCGATGATCTGGCTCGGACAGAATTACTTGACGATTCGCTCTGAGTAATCAAATAACTTCTTTCTCATGGGGCCTGATGATCGGCTCAGGCGAACGTCCCATTTACATTCTTTGGAAACTTGATGATCGGCTCAAGTTTCACGATATGCGAAGATTTGGGATTTACACCCCTCCTCATCTGCTTTTACTATTATTTCTTTGTTTACCGTTGATTCCAGCATAATACATCATTCAAGTTTATCCACAAGGTCAAGAGTGAATCAAAGTCAGAATCGGACATACCATGCTGAATAATAAATATCATTTGCAAATTTTGTCAAAACCTAAAGTTAGTTGTACAATTATATTTTGTATTTGAGTTGCATTAAAATTTTGAATATTTAAAATTAAGTTCTGTTTCGTCTTTAGAGCGCGCTTTCGCCAAGCTAACCGTTCATTTCTGTTCTTAAACGAACAGTTTTTAACGTTTTATTTGACTCTTATATGTCTTTTACAACATTATTTGAAATTTTATAATATTTAAGAGTCCTACGAATCTTTTTATTGTTAATCAATAAATGCATTCAGTAAAAACTAATTTAGAACGGAATACTATTGTATTTTGTTCTACAATTTCTGTATTTGATTGTTTTATATTTGACATCTTATTGGGCATTTCAAACATAACAAAAAGATAAAGATTAAAGTGGCAAATCTAAAAATCTTATAATTTATACGTTTATATAAAAAAATTTTTTTTTTACAGAATATTTGTCTAAAATATTAACCTATTTCAAATCTATTTTGTACATTTTAATTACGCTTTACACACACATTGCGTTTGTTACGTACTTTGTCAATTGGTAAGAGTCAAATAATTAAATAAAATTCAATATAATAGTCTAAGACATAAAATGTATTATACTCTGTAAATTGAAATTAAAATCATATTACATGTTTCGGCGTTTAAATTGAGTCATCTTTAGATATAAAAAAATTTCACGCAGTAGTGTTGGTAAAATGACGACGCAATAATGTGAAAATGTACATATATAAGATGAGGCCCGAAGAATATTTTATACAGGAACCGAAATCGCTCATAAACGATTGAACGACCGATTGTTGGAAATTTCTTTATGTTATAATACTTATAATAAATGAAGTTATAAATTAGTCAAATTATTTAACACAATAAAAGACTTTTGCTAAGTAAACAAAACGTTACCCTGATAAAAGACTGATGGCTCAATCTAGACGCCGAAATATGTAATATGATTTTAATTTCAATTTACAGAGTATAATACATTTTATATCTTAGACTTAGACTACTATATTGAATTTTATTTAATTATTTAACTCTTACATGCCCTTTCTAATTTCAATTGGTTTTGTACATTAAGAGTTCTTTGTTCTTATTTAATTTGATTGTCAATTTGTATTTATTGATATAACTTCTGCGTGACTGTGTTCCTAGGTCAACTGAGATCGATGGTTGTTTACTAGATGGCTAATCAACAAAGTAAATTATCCTGAAGGCACGCGATCGCGTCTGATAAGAATCAGAAACAAGAAAGCGTGTGCGTTTATAAAAAAAATCATAGAGTCCGCGCGTTTACCTTCTTTTAATGAACGTTATTAATTAAAAGTGCTGTCAATCTGCGTCCCGCGACCGAGCCTGCGCTATTAGCCTGTCTTTCCACACGTACTCTCTGCGATACGATCATTATTTCGTATTTCGCCGAATAAATGTTCGCTTCATTGCATCATTGCATTGCGAGTTTCGGTCCATCAATTACGTTTCGTTTACGGCAATGTGTTATTGCATTACGATCGTAAGATAATAACCCGGCCGCTCGGAATTATATGTCGAAATGATCCACGGCATGCATCAACAAAAAAAAAGATATTAAATCGCTGCACGTCCCGTCGTTAATTTTCTGATATCGATCGTTGCATCGTAAAAAGATGCTGTCGTAATCAAAGTTTCAGAGTCCCAATGATCTTAGAGTCGCTACTGCAAAAATCGCCGATCTCGAGATTCCTGTCCGAACATTAAATCTGCAAAACGTATATTGCCTTCGTACTTTCCTTTGCATGATTAGCTTGTTCCGTTCCGATAAACCGCACGCGCAGACGTCCGATTTTAAAGTTAAACAACCGAGCGGCCAGCTGATTCGCCTTGACATTGCACCGGCGAAAGAAAACTATGCGAAAAGAGACTCGACGGAAAGCGACCGTGGCGGCGCGGCGGCTCACCTTGCCTTTGATACGGAAATCTCCCAGACAAACGAACCGCGAACGAACTCGGTATTGCTCCGATCGTGCCGACACTCGAGGTAACCTTTATCCGAATGATTACCTCGAGAGGCAGCTAGCTCCATAATTGTGTACGAGAAACGATGTCCTTCGACAATGATGATCTTCTCCTCGACGCGTTTGATCATCGAGAGGAATCGGACATAAATCGGCTGTAACGATTTCATCAAGAGCTTTACGTAAGGAAACGATATCGCGAGGAAGAAAGAAATTGGGACCTGATGATTTATCTTCCCTCTCCTAAATAAATATTGCTTCTCTCTCTTTCTCTCTCTCTCTCTGTCTCTCTCTCTCTCTCTCTCTCTCTCTCTCTCTCTCTCTCTCTCTCTCATACTCCATCTTTTTTCGCGTTTGCGTAAGGACCACATAAAATTCATGATGCGATAACGGATTTTCGAAGCAAACGCACGGGCAGTCGTTTACATCATCCTAATCCAACGAGAGTCCTTGCAGCTCTCTTCATTAATTTGATTGTGACAGTATTTGCTTACGACATCACGGAGCGCGATAGATTAGTGATTGAACACGCGATGTAGCTATTAAGTTAGAATGGAAAATCGCGGTGATAATAATGACCACTGAACTTAGCAAATAAAAGTATTCTCAAAGAGCAGATAAATAAGGTTAACGAAAAAGAAAAACTTTTTCATAATGGATCCAATTTTTATCAAAATCTGGTTTCTGGCCGGTTGCGAACGCGCGTCAGACCGACGGAATGAAAATGTTAAGTAGCATATTTGCTTGTAAATATCTGACAGAGGTGCTATTTAGAGAAATGTATAGGGTCATAAATTTCTGCGGCTTACGGTGGAAATTGTACATTGGAAACGTGGTCGACGATCGATCAACCGTAAAAATTGTCACGCACCTTCGTCACGGACGATATAACTTCACAGATCAGAGAGGGAGAGAGAGAGAGAGAGCGTACAAGTCGACAAATAGGCAAAGGGATATCATTCCAAGGTTTTACAGCGCACAATTTTCAACGGAGACGCATGGTCATGCGTTCAACATTCTGCTTGCTCTTAAAGTCTGTCTCGATAATTTAAAGCCTATACTTAGCGTTGTTATGTGGATAGTACCATTATTTAGCACCTGACAGTCTAGATCGGCGCGATACACCGATAATTATCGTAATAACGGTTATTTTTCGGACAGTCGTAACGGTCAAAATTACTCCCGCGATGATTCGATCGCTTGTTGCGTTACGAAGAGCAAGTTTCGTCAAACAGCTGTTACTTCGTGAGAATCCGAGTGATTAAACGTTACGCGAAAGCACTCTTACTTTGTTATAATTAGTAACCGACGGTTTATATGTGGAACCAGCGAAAAATGTCATTCTTGACTCTTTAATGTGTATCTTTCGTACGTATCTATGTAAATCACTGCAGTACTGGACGTGTGAATGCTCATTAGGAAAGATTCTCTCTTAGTTAAGCGTGGTATCGCGTCGCGATTTATACGAAGCAGTTGCTGCATTATTTCGTAATGCAGTTAAAAAATGTAAGATTAAACATCTGAGTTAGGATTACTTTTCTTCTTAGGTTACGCTTCTTTTACACAACAATTTTCACAGCCTTATATAACGTAGAAATTAAAACGAGATGCTCTCGTTTCGCTCTTAGGAATTTCCATGAAATTGATTTCAACATTGAATTTTTCTATTGTTATTACAATTATTATCCCGTTTAGGAAATTTCTTTTGTGTAAAGAAAAGATCTTAAGTTTAGAAATTAAGAAATGTATATACTAGTCGCTATTTACTTATTTATTAAAAACATAGAGAAACTCTTAAAATTCGATGCGAACTTCACTAATGTACTTTTGTGATAATTAAAAATTAAAAAATTCTAATTGCAGATTGTTCTAGTCGTATTTGTCATGGCCGTCCTGGCGAGTGCCTCGGCGCAGGATTTCAGACATTTTTTCGCGGGATTTGGTCCTTATGGCATTCAATCCTCAGTAATGAGGGATCCGAGATCGAATAGGGGTAAGTTATTTTCAGTAACGACTAACATAAGATTATATTATACACTGTTAAATCTGTAGTGTCAAATTTAACCTAATTCAAGTCGTCACTGCTTCTATTCAATACATCATTATTTTATATTACTAAATCAATGGTTATAATTGTAAAAATTGCCAAAGGAGAAGGACTAGTTGTTAAGTGCTAACGATTAATCTATCTTTAATAACCAATCGATATAAACATTTAATATACAAACGTTTCAACCTTCATCAGGTCATCCACAGTGTAAAACAAAGATTAAACTAATTGAAAATAAAAATAAAAGAGTCGCAATATCGGTTACATAATAGTTAATTATTTAAATATAACACGTTTATATATATGATGTCATTAATTGAAATTTATAGTTATGATTATAATTATAATTATAATTATAATGTTATAATTGTTATATGACAGTTTTATAATAGTGTCAATTTGACGCTACACTGAGAAAAATGTTTGATTGAAAACGAACAAACGAAAAGATTCTGATTCATCAAATCAATTAGGATTCCGCTTATCTCGATTAGAATTTTAGTAGATTTAACCAGAAAATTTTCTTATAGTTTCAAATTTAACTATTATCTTGATATAAAATAACGATATATTGAGTAGGAGCAGTGGTCACTTAAATTAGGTTAAATTTGATATTGTACGTTTAACAATAGTTGAAAGAATGATGGATTTGACTGAAACTTCAGTAGATAACAGAACATTGATGTACAATAATATTTATTTTTAGTTATTATAGCCAGATATGCATCGTTGATATTTATTATAAAATAAAATTTTTTTTAAATAAAATTATAAAATTGCAAATTAACCATTTGGTAAATTAATTGAACATAGATTTGTAGTATCTCTTATAAGATTTCCTGAAATGACTCTTGCACTTTTATAACTACGCCTACTTCAATTTACATAATCCGAAGATGATTTGTCGGTATATTATTACTGTGCCCGACGGCTTACTATAAAACAATTATGCTTTCCTTTTTTGTTCATACGCTATTATTAGATGTTTCGAAGTGCTCAGTGATTTATAGTATGCTTCGGAAGTGTTCGTTCTTGTATATCCTTCACATTATCAGGAAGCTGGGAATCGTGCAATTACGATAATTTGTTCTTATGTTTTCTTCTATTTGCATACCCCGCGAAGAAACGACCTCGTTTCATCCGCAAATAATGGTAGGCATTCTAATATCGTTCGCTAGAATTCCTCAATCGTTCGAAAGTTCTTCCTCAATGTGATAGATTCTTGGAAACGAAGTCTCATTTACGATGTTATTGAAAGATGTAACAAGATATAATCGCGACAATTATTGTTTCACGTATTGGTATAAAAATCTTATAACGCGATATATATAGGGAAGCGTACAATTTTATAATAAACTAAACATTTTTAACAATTTTTATAATTTCTGTGTGTGTTCAGAAATTTAGTAGATAAGATATTAATGTGTAGTTTTACGGAAATATTTGAGGAAAATTAATAGCTGCAGCTTATTATCCGTATCGCAACTATTTATATAACGCTCTGAGCATGATTGACAATATAACAATCGTTTTTATGATGGTTTGTGTCCGTTCAGCCGTAAAGATCCTAGATATAAAAGGAATGCTCTTTGAAGTGCGCTGTCGTATAATCAAACAACTGATTGCGATCGAGAGGAACGAGTCTGAATCGAATCGTGTAATGTCTTGTTATTGATGCAGAATCTATCCTGCTCTTATAGATAGTATAACTTTTACCGGAACAACGCAGCTAACTAGAGATTTACCTCAACATGTGCGTGTAACGGAAGGAAAGCCAAACCATTTGATTTTACATGTAATGTAAACTTCGTAATTTAAATTATAGTAAAATCTGTGAATGCATTACGATCATCAGTGCATTTCTTTCAATTACTATGCCGTAATATTTTTATAATATTTATGTATTAAAAAAAAAACATTACTTGAGAATAAGATTTTGTCAATTTTGAAATCCATTCTAATATAATCGTTTTACAACCAACGTAAAAGAATATAACGTAACTATTCCAGATTATGATATCATACTGACGCTGTTACTTCTAAGGTTGCTCGAATAGCTCAAACTACATTATTTAAATGGCTTGCGCAGGATACGTGATCCTTGCAACCTGTTCGAGCGTTAGTATGCGCATAATAAACGGCTCTGGAATGAGTGTCAAGTTCACATACAATAAATAATGCGTCATATATTGTGTGTCTGACGGAATACTAAGCAAGTAGCCCGTGCAGCATAAATCACATCTTAATATATCTGCTAAAAACTAGCTAATTTAATTTTTATATAGAAAGTCTAAGAGAATTCAAAATACATTACGAAAATATATTTATTATACATTTTACGACATTCATACTTTTTATTTATCTTGTACATTAAATTGTTGCATTTTTCTTGGTACTGATATATTCCGAAATAAACCTTATTGCGATATTAAATAATTAACGCTTCTAATTTATTTTCTGCTCTCATACTTCTCATTGTGTTAAGACTACCACTTAGTAAGTGATTATCGGGATAACATGAAAGGCTTACATCAGTCAAACAGATCGTTCGTTTTTTTACTACTGAATATTCATATAATAGCGATTACTTACGGAAGATATGCTCGAGTATTTTGTTACTACTTTATCGCAAATAATAGGAGAAGGCTACTAGACGGAAACTGACGTTTATTACCCGAATGCTAGGATCGTCAAGAAAATTATCTTAATAAATCTAGATAGTATCTGCCCCCATATAATATCATGTCAGTAGATCTATTAATAATACGGCATATGATCCACTTCCTCGTGTTAGAAAGGATTTCCACTACTCCTTCGTAGATAAATGCAACTTTCCTTTAATGCCACGTAACACACACTATAGTGCCATTAGCAGTTGCGGTTTGTTAAATAATATAATATGCGCGCACGGAAAACGAAAACAATTTGGAGACAATTCTCATTTAGAAATTTCTTATTTGAGACGACTTCCTAAATTTTAGATATTCATAAAATTACTATTGCTATAAACGTAATTAATAATACAAAAATTTAAATATTGCACTAATCACTAGTATGAGCGACAAATGGTTTAATCAGAGATATGTATTTGTTCGAGAATTTTATCATTAAGTTTACAAAAAATGAATAAAGATATAAAAAGATATTTATTTTCTATAAACACACATTAAACAAAACTCTTTAGTCAAGTTTTTGCAAAATTAATTGAAAGTCCTTTGCTGTTTACCATTACATTTAATGATTCTGTTTACTATATGCGATCAACCGCGCATCGTTGCTTCGCCAATGACCATGAAAGTCAAATGATCTTTGTAACTGTTGTGAGCATCCAATCAACTCAATTCAATCTTGTCAAACGATGTTGGTAACGATCCTATAGATCTTGTATATCTCTGTGTTAATATGGAATATACAGATCATTAAAGATTAATAGATTCACAAGAAAATATTTATAGGCACGTTATTCGACTACGGTATTTGGCTATAAATTATTGAACGTTGGTATTACTAAAACATTGACTAAGGCCGCTATTCATAGTCAGATCTTATATTCAAGATCGTCTTAAGTATAGTCTTAAGAAGTCACGAATCAATCAGAAGGCCATATTAGCGTTTTAGAACATTACTTAAGACATCTTGAAATAAGAACGGACTATGAATACCATCCTAAGATCTTTTTGCGAAGATTATTTCAAGGATATCAAACGCTTTTCTTCTTACATAATTCAAGATTGCCCTAAAAGTTTTGACATATCTATTGACTAGCTGGAAATACAAGAATAAAATGGAGTTTGTATTTTTGATATCGAGAAGAACAATCGTGAGAACAAACGCAGCCTCTAAAATGGGATTACGCGATAATGTGTTTTAACATGCGTTTTCTCCTTTCGTAGGTCCAGTATTATTCCCACCTGGGCCGGCTCCTAACAATGCTGATACCAGCGGCGTCGTCGTGGGCGCGAGTGGATACGGATTCGTGCCACCCAGCTCAGGTAATTCGTTCGGCTTCTGAGAATCAAAAGAAACCCCGCTGCACACCCCCGTTCTCCCTAAAAAAAGAGAAAAAAAAATAGACGAAAGGGATCGGTGGTGGAATACAAGCCGGCAAGCCTTTACGTGACCAGTCTCTGCATGTAAAACAACCCAAACAGTCGTCGAGGATAACGGAGTAGAAAATGGAAAGACAGATAGAAGGAGAGAAAGGGAGAGAGTAATATATCTTATCACACGCAATACCTCGTTCCTCTGCACTCAACTTATGTATGAACATTATTTATTGTTGTCACTTATGAAATAACATAGTCTACACATTTCCCTAATCCCTGAATTTTAATTGTATATCGAGGGTGCATGTTCATGTGCGTCGTGCATGTACGGCACTATGACGTATTTATTGTTTTATGAGATGTTCGAAAAGTCATGCGTGACTCTACGATACGCATATTAACACTTTATAAATCCAGCAATGGCATTATATGATGAAGAAATATGTTTTACGTGACTATTGTGTTAAGTATAAAGAGCATGTCAATTAATTATGCAAGTTTTTCAAAAGTCGCTCGAAAAAAATATTACATATATTTATGATAATATTGCTGGTTTATTAACATTGCAAATGTAAAGCGTTAATATTTATGTCAATGAATCATAACTTAATGTGATATCGAATCTTGCAATATTGCATTTCGATACGCAATATATTAAAATGATAAACGTGATCGCAAGCTACGTGAAAGTTCGGACATTCTTATAATTGTTAAGTTACGTTATACATAAATACGCTGTAAATTAATAAAAAAAAAAGAACCCTCAGCATATAATTGTCGTAAATCTGACGTACGCATAAGCGTTCTAATATTTGATCTCCTCTCTTGTTATATGTAAAAATTGGCTTATTGAAAGATATATGAGTCACTCGATTCTCCGACTACGGTGTCGAATACATCGCTGTTCTGAGAATTGGCAAAAACCGCAAAAATTCTCTTTCCTATTACCTTCGTTTGTTATGTTCTCGCGAAGGTTAATTTCGTCTTATCGGCCCGACGTTTGATCCTTGAATCTCGTCGTTTTGTGAGCGTGCTAATGATGTTCTGTCGTTCACGTCGAGGACGACAATCAGCTTTTCTCATTACGTACATCCCGGAAAGTTGTACGTTGAGATAGCATTACGAATGGACGGCTGCGATTGCGAGCATGCTATAAGGCTTAAACTTTCGACGTCTCGCTCGTCTCGCTTGTTCTCCGTCGCGATTCTCTTCGAATTGGACGATCAATTCGAGGATCGAGAGCCGCGACAGCGAGAAGCGATACTAATATGTGGTACGCGGGTCCTTTAGCTAAGTAGTGTGCACCGCAGCATGTCTGGTGACAGAAAATGCACTAGCAGATAGTTATCGTAATCTCCTGTACTGCGCAAGGTAAGTTTCATGTAGAAAAAAGTAATATATTTAATATCCGTAACGCGTTGTTGGTTTGCCATAATTGGTCTCCGCAAAATGTTGCAGTGAACGTTCAATAAATGTTTCCCTTTTTTCTCTGTAATTACACGGCGTTGAGCATGAATCATTTTTTTCGATATAATAAAGACTTTCGCTCTAGATCGTTATCTTATTAACCTTGTCAGTGATATCCAACTTAAGCCACTTTACCGGTTACCCACGAAGCGAGAGTCAGAAAGCGATTTCGATCGAGATCCTGCAGGGTCCTGCATCTGCAAATCGGGCCCAAACGAATCGTAGAACCGTGAAACGAGTTTCCTTGCGTAATCAGATCCCCTCGATTTCCGCGACGTAATATGCGGGGAACAACGTGTCTCTTCCGGTAATTTGAGCATACACTCGGCTTTCATTTCACGCGCCGTCCTTCGCACCTGCGCTCGGCCGCACGGTAGACTCATCAAGTGGCATAACGAGACGTAATGAGAAAAAAAGACAGAGAGAAAGAGAGAGCGAGAAAAGAGAAGATCACTAACCGAAGCGTGCGGAGATGGAAGTTGTACTTCCTCCTTCCGCGAAACGTAGACATACACAACTGTATTACCGGTTTCCTCGCGCAGAGAATCTTCAGCCTTGGAACATAAGCACGCGGAGGGCCGCGACGGTTCGGTGAAAGCGATTTCGACGAGGCTGCGTGGCCTCGTGGCGGTTTGCAAACTCGTTTTATGCGTAACCTTACTTAAGTTACTACATTGCGCGTAACAGGTGTTACGAGGTCGTCAAGGCGACAAGGTTGCCTTTTTGGTCAGCGACGCGGACACCGGAAGAGAAACGGAAACGAAGAAGTGAGGATCAACGCTCTCTCGATCCTCGGCCTTTGACCAAAACCGATCGGTTACGCACGGTCAAGTTCAATCAATTTTTTTCCTTTCAATCATGCGAATTAATTCTCGTTCGTTTTCCATCTCACAAAAAAAAAACATGAATTTGTTAAGTGAAATGATTTGCAAATTTCTGAGATACGATTCTTTCGAAATTCTTTTTTAAATACGGCGAAAGTCGTCAAGGTATATGGCACGCATAAAAACGGAGTATATCTTTCTTGGCGATGAGAGGAATTATATAAGACGGTCCTGCAACATCATTGAAGAATTCAGCGCCAAGAAATATTTATTGGAGAGTGACAAAATGATTGGAAGAGTCGAATTTGGTGTTACGAGAGTAATCATAAAATTTCATTTCTCTTTGCGATTAACGGCAGATGTTGCCACTTTTTAAAAACAGAACGATGATGGGGATCGCAGTTTTACTTCGTTACCAGAGCTGTCTCTTGACAAATCAATGCTATCTAAGAATGTCAAGTGTCATCAAGCTCGTAATAGACGAAAGAAGCAGGAACTTTCGTTCGCATAATTTGTGCAAAATTTAATATAAGAAATAAGAAAGAACGAATAATTGCATACGAGTAATGCATTAGTGATGTCGATTTTAAAAAGAAAATCGATTCCCAGAATCGATTCTTAACAATCGATTAGTTAAATTTAAAAAATCGATTATGAATAATCGATTCTTTCAATGCTGTTTTTTGGCGACTTGTAAATAAGATTAAAATGGATACAATATTAACAAAATTTATAGACGAGGTACAATTGAATTCACAAATTTCATAGAACATAATTATTATTTATTAGTTTATGGCTTAAAAACTCTTCATTTAGTAATACATTATATTTCTGAAAAATTGGATCGGTTCCGAAAGAATCGAGAAACAAAAAATCGATTTAAAATCAATTTTTTAAGAGCAAAAAAATCGATTCTCGATTTAAGAATCGATATAATACATTTGATGCGATATTAGCTTGACCCAATAAAGCTTTGTTCGAAGCTGGTATACGTTATCGTTGGCAAATAATATATTATTATAATTTGATGAAGATCGCTCGGATTGATTTAGAACAAAGATTCATAATCGCTCTTGTAAATATACATATTTTGTTTTCGATATTTGTTGTACCCAGCCCAATTGAGAAAATGCACGATTGAATAAAAATGTAGTATCCCGCAATGCCGCACACTTTACATAACTCTATAACAGATAGCGGGGTAAAGAAGAAAGGTATCGGTAACGGTATTAAAATACTCGCGTACGACGCAAAAGAAGTGAATGGCTGGCGAATAAATTCTTTCTGTGGAGAAATACGCGCCGCAGATATCGGGGGAAAGCCTGTACATCTCGCACTTTATAACATTTTGCACTCGTTAATGCGCGCAACTCGGCACGAGAGAGAAAACGTAAGTCTCGGGCAACCGTGCCGTAATTAACGTCGTGGCACGCTGGGGGATGAGGTACGTTAAGTCCGAAAGTAAGACCTCGTCCAAATTAAGGTTGTAACTTAGGGAAGCGCAGCTGTTTTATCGGGACAATTTTGAAGATTAACCAGCAGTTAGCGCAGATAATAAATGCGAAGTACAATTTAATTCTCTGGGAAATAAAATCTCTCGATCGCCGAGGCACGTTTTTACGTTAATGGGGTTGATAAAACTGAAGAAGCAAGATTGATGCAACTCGCAAGCGTAACTTCTGTTTGACGGATAATACTTTCGTAATAGTTTCTATTTCGAAATCTCGCGAGAGATAAAAATTCGCGATAAAAAGGTGATAAAAATTGCGCGAATATCTTTATCTGTAATTTACCAATTAGGAACGATCGTATCTCATGCCAATAACTAGTCGTCGTGAGTTTTGATGCAACTAAATACAGCAACACATAAAGATGATAGCATTCTAGGTCAAGAGGTCATTCGTTCCCCTCGATAGTCATTAAACCCGACGATCCGCATTTAATTATGCAACACGCAAAAACTGTTGACCCCTCCGGACGTCCTTGGCGAAAATTTATCTGGGGTCGAAAGGAGGAGGGTGTCCAAAACAAATTTTCCCCTAAACTCGTAGTCGGTATTCCCTGTGGGAACGAAATATCTCGTAATATCTCTCGATACCTCCGTTAAATACTTTTTTCACGGGGCATTAATTTGGACGAGAAGACGTCCGCATAGGGAGAGATGCCCGAAAAAAGTTTTTAACGACGCGATATAAATTAAGCGTTCCAGTACATTTCACTAACCAACTGTAGGTTGTATCGATATGATTCTACAGGCAATGATATGCTGCTGTTTCAAAAATTAAATAGTACATTTGATATTTGAAGTAAAATTGAGCCAACGCTCCAAAGTCGATTTCTAAGGGTTAAAAATTTAAGCGGTAAAACGTAAGCAGTAGCAAACCCAACATGTTGAGTCCCTTTTTGCTTATGTTTTGCTACTTAAGTTTTTCTGTGTGCCATGACTCGTAGCAACACGATAAAGATACACGCTTCGATGCCAAGTTATTTTCAAGTTGGACTTAGTCGCCGTCACTGACAATTATTTTTGAACGTTGCTGTTCATCATTAGGGCGTTCTCGCTTTTAAATTGATTATAATCAGAATGGAGGCGGAATCCTTTTGAGAGCCCTAATGGCTTCCATTCGGATCCCCCATTCGTTTCGCGGTCGACTTTATTATCGAAGCTGCGTACGATCTTGCCAAAGCACACATGTGCTACGCGCAAAACCAAGGGAAACGTGACAGAGCACTAGGGGACCGGAAAAGCGAGCACTTACTAATCAAAGGGTGGAAGACGTAGGGGATGAGGTCAGTTCTGCCCGTCTCCGACGGGTGGAACAAGGTGACGAGGGTTCTGTAATTAGCAGCTTTGAAGTGGTATCACCCTCGCTACTCATTAGCGACGTTCAGGTGCTCCGAGTGTTAGCACTCCGAGGGATACTTTTGACAGTAGAATCACAGATGGAAATTACACGAACCGTTGAACGGATCTCGCGCTGATGAATCCTCAGAAATCGTCGTCGAATCATGGCATCAGAAGGATGAGAAGGATGAAGGAAATATGGAAAGAAAAAAGATTAAAATTTGGTTGAACGAGGGAAAGCGGTTTTATCGCAATGTATCTCGATGATGACGAAGAATCTGCCACAATCCGCTGGCGTAAACGTCCCGGAAATGAAGGCGACTGGAAGTACAGAAATTAATTTGCTTTGCTTCGTCTACCCGCGTCTTCCACAGCAACAAAGATGAATGAATCGGAATAACCGTTATTATAAATTTACAGCGCATAATTTAAAGTTCTTTAATGTTAGGTATTAAATATGTGTCCGCACTATAAATCCCACTATAAATTTATAAAGAGAAAATCTCTAAAGTTTTTAAACTCTTCGCCGGCAACTGGCATCTTTAAAGACACTATCGATATTTTTAATTTTGGTAAATAAATTTAAATATGTAAAAAACAAGTAAACATAATCGAACTTTTATGATGATAAATTCATTGTTAAAACTTTGACAAGGATATACTAGAATTTTTTCAGATTTTTATATAATCAAACGGAACAATAAATAATTTGCTTCGTTTCTCGAAAATTCCTATTGTTGATGAGAGTTAAAAGTTCATGTTGGCGAAGGGTTAAATGATCATCGAAATATCTTGCAATGATCAACCCTTCCGTATGTCAGTTCAGAATGTTCAGATCTCAAGAATAAGTTTTTCGTTTGTTGCAGGTTATTATACCTATTTCTACTACTAGACACACATCCAGTAATCATGGGATTGCAACGTGAAGACGACAACACAAAGAAAATGTTAGTCAAGGTTTTGGACATTACGGCTCGCAGATTCTAACTGGACATTATGGTAGACTAATAGATCGACGGTTACATGGTGGTGCGTGTCCACTGAAGGAAGGACGAGCCTTAAAGTAGTTCTTTTCTTCTTTTTTTCTATTTAACAATAGCCTCTCCTCCGTGATTGGTGGCGTGGGAGGACGCCTACTTCCCGTGAACTTTGCTAGATTGCGTAAAGTTCGCAGGGTAAAGGAGAGCTATTAGCGCAGTGTACAAATAGAGAAATACGTGCGATTATTATTATAATAAGATTTTTTTTTTAAAAGCATCAAGTTTCTTCTTGAGGCATAACGTAGTGCACGAAATATTTTAAGATAAAAGTTCAATAGCTTAGTAAATTAAACCCTTTTATTTCCTTATCTCTTTCAATTAAGGATCACTTGAGACGCACCCTTAAAACCGCCAACGAGACCGATAGTTAGCAGCTAAATATCGGCCATATCGACATTGATATTACGCCACTTACTGTTTTAGTTTCGATATCTAGTGCGGTAATCCCGTATACGAGCAACGAGAACGTCCGCATAATGAAGTCTACGAAAGTACAAGTCGTATTTTATGGTGCATTAGTACGGGTATTCGCGCCTCTCCGCGTGGCGGTAACGCTGAGGCGTGTATAATTAGTAGCAGCCAGAAAGGACCGTGCACTCCTGACAGTGCGATCCTAGAACAAAAGCGAGCGGGACTGAATAGCGAATCCGCTCCGCGCCTTATAGTCGAGAAATATCCGCTTATGAAACAAGACCTGGTAAATAGAGGCGGGTCCGGCGCGCGCGCCGTTGGATCCGCTGAAAATGATTAAAAGGCAGTGGTACATTTCGTGCCGACTGGTAAATTATTTATCGCGACCGCGATGGCAATTTAATTAAGTATACACTCAAAATATGTAGCAGTGAAATTTCACTGCATTGAATTGAAATTTCATTGTAGGTGTTAGTGGTAATTGAGCCAATGCTACTGCCAGGGAATTTTACCGCAAGGTAGTAGTAAAGATTAGAATAGGCAGAAGGAGATTAAAATAGACAGAATAATGTCATTCCAATGGATAGGGTAATTCCGGCAAATACGCCGCGCTGGGATTTACGTTGTAGAAGTCAGAAAAAAATAGAAGGAGTGGAGGTAATTTTTCTGCAACTACTCTGTTGCATGCTTTTATGTTATATTAGTATTGTTATGATTTCAGTTTCTTACTGTCAATATTAATGAAATTATTGTGAGTTGAATCGATTTGACACTGTAATAAGTGGCGTCATCATAAATTATAATTTACATAAAATGATTGCTTCAGAGCGCGTAAATGACTTAGTGAATTATTTCGTAATACATAAGTGTAGAGGAATAGTAAAGTATGTTGTATAGCAAAATACAAATGCTTTGCTCTTGTATTCTTTGTTCAATCTTGTATATCCCACCTGTTTGGGATATACGGAATTTTTAGCGGACGGGATTTATACCCAAAGCATACAAAGTGCTCAGATTGGATTCAGTATACTAAGTGCAATAAACACATTACATGAAATATGTACTTCATGTAACAACACTTGTAATATATGTAGGAAAATTATAATTATTATCTATTACTTCATATACAATATTTATCATTCTTATTCCTTAATAAAACTTTGTAAACATATTTTATAAGTTTTGCTGCATCATTTTACGTCTTATTTATAAACATTATTTATAAATTTTTTATAAGCTGTAACGTACCCCCCTCCTCCTATGAGTCTCATCCCTATGGGATATACGGCAAAAATGCAAGGGTTTCATAAAGTTTTTTTTTTAACACGAAAAATAGGTATTTCGGATTTCTAATTTTTTTTTCATAGTAAGTACAACTAACAATAAGTACCTCTAAGTTTTTTTATAGACAGTACAAAATTTTTACTGATATAGTCCATTTTTTTCTTGAAAATAGTAAATAATACTTAATAAATTAAGTTTTTGTTAGATATGACGTATATACCGGAGTTACCCTAATCAGTTAAGATGCGTCTCGCCCGTAACAACCATAACAAATGACATAGCGCACCTAGCGGTGCTAAATTCACTCCTTGCAGTAACATTCCATGCATCTTGCATTGCATTATCAACTAATGCTTAAATCACTTCGGTTGATCGAGTGAAAAAGTTCACTCCTTACCTAAGAGCAGATTAACTCCAAAGTAAAATTCCACACTTAAAACAGTGATTTTGCTACTCAATTTTGTTAGTAGTGAAATTTTCATTGCTACAGATTTAGAGTAGCCGTTTTCGGGCAAACAACCCTTTACGATCTGCCAGTTTCGTGTTCAAATTGTTAATGCTCCGCGTCGTTTAGTTACTCGACGCGTGGCTTAATATAAGTAATATATTTATATGTAAATATAATAGAGAGAGAGAGAGAGTAAGGAAGCGTGGTATGTGAGGCCACGAATCAATAACGGGGTGCCGCCGTCGCTTTCGTTTCCGTGCAATTCGGTCATGGTTCTTTAAGCGCGAAAGATACGTTCTATGTTAGTGCATTTAAATGCCCGACTTGTCGGCCAATCTGTTCCGCACGCGTCCGGTTTTAATCGCACATGGTGGTAAAAAATACACACCTGATATGAGTCCACAGTTTCATTGATCCGTGGCCGAAAAACACCCACATTCCGGTTGATTGGCTCGCTCTTACATAATTTTCGCATGTCATAGTCGATCTTAGATTTTTTATATAAGTTTTTATATAAAAAGCGTGTAAATATTACTTAATCTATGGAAGTGAAATAAAATTATTATCTATAAATCCGTAGTTTTGATTTATCTCAAATTTGCTATGAAAATTTTACACGTATTTAGTTTTAATTCAATAGGTAAATTAATTGATTAAGGAAATGAAACAGTACGTATTAGGAAATATTTTGAAAATAGACCATGCAACGATTGTACGAATATTAAAAACTTTTTTCTTAAACGGTTCAGGAAAAATCAGTTTTATTCTGTAGAAGATGTGTAATGTAGTGTGTAATAAAACATGATACACGCACATAGCACCATAAAAAATGTTTATATACTGAAATTATAATAAATTATTATGTACGTATTTAAAAGTGAGTGTATATTTGTGTGTGTGTGTGTGTTTATTTTCTATTACATAATTGATATTGATTATAGCAAATTATTATTATAGTAGATTAATTACTTTACGAGACATGATTAACTCAATATAGAGCGTAAATCGAAGCCGCACCGGGAACACTCTCCTTTCATTGCTCAAGGAGACCTCGTCCCGGAATGAAATTTACCAATAAAATGATAAACACGACGGGCGGCGCTCTTATCCGCGACGAAATCTGCGGAGCACGACGCTCGCACGACGACGATAATTACCATTGGGCGCCATTATCCGTTCGTGCATTAGTAATTACGAAAGTTTCCTGCAACCGTTTGAGCGTACACAGAATATTCAAACACATGCACGCGTTCGACTCTACGTAAGACTCTCACCTGATCTTTGCGGACGGAGAAACTGTGTCTTGTAATGTGTAACGAAAGTACGTTTACGTCCAGTCGCGCATTAATGAGAAAAGCGTGAAAATTAACAACTCAAAGCAAAATGGATAGGTATATCGTGGAAATAAACGGAACATTGTTGGCGATGAAAGTCTAAACAATTTGTCAATCAAACGATTATACAGTTGTCTAAAAATAATGTAATAAACGGCTATATATATATTCCTAATCTTATGCTTTATATCTCGAAACTGCAACCGGTTTTAAAATTTCTTGAGATATGAGAATGGCTCTTTATCAGGGTCCTAATAAGTTTCTATCTAGAGCTACATCCGTGTGCACAATCCGCAGCTGCACGCAAAACCAGTTTCGTTTTAATCATACATGAAAGCCATGCAATTTATACAAAGCATATCAACCGTATTATTTATACTAATAATAATTGGTAATAATTGATGAATACTCGGGTGATTACTAAAGATACAGTTAACCCGAGAACTCTCAGTGTTTTATATTATTTCTTAGTTTATACAGCACGTTTATCCCATAATCACGAAATGAATGTGTCACGAATAGTGAATAGACGAACGTGTATTTTCACGCACGATTCGTTAATCGTTACCAAGTAAAAATATTTCGAAATAAATAAAACGAGGTATCCGCGTGGGATAAAATCGGTCAAATCTCATGAGAATATGACCGATTTTATTTATGCACCTACGTGCTAGAAATGCATGTTTAGCGGAAATTAAAGAAATTGCGGTGCCGTGATTCCTCTCGTAAAACCGGTAGGATTTTCTATCTAAGGAAAATGGTGCAAGATTTATTACGATATTACGGCATTGCGGTATGCTGATTGCATGAGATTCGTGATGTATCATATATCCGCGCGAAGATAAGGATCTGCTAGAGTCCGCTGAGAACGCTTGCTTATTCATTCTAAAGCTAACTGGAGCCACGTGTTTGGCAGCTTAGAGATTCGAAAGCGCACGGAGAACATCGATACACAGCTCGGCTTGTCATGGAATAGAATCATCTGCGACTTCAGATGAAGTAAAATGAATTCAATGAATGAAACAATATTTTATGGAAACTTAACGATTGTTATCTCTTTCTAAGAAATTATTATTTAATGACGACTTACATTTTTATAAATTAATATATTAAATTAAAATAAATAAAAGATATCTTATTATCTTAGATATGAATCCTTCTTTGTGTAAGTTTGATATCTAAAATAATTATCATTCTAATATGTATTTACATAAAGGAAAGTAGCGTGCCTTAAATTATGTAAGTCAAACATTCGTAGCATCGCCACGTTATTCTCAGCAGAAAATTAATGTACGCTTTACTGCACATGTAGCGCTATATTAGCACGGCACGATAATGCAGCGCGTAATCAGTATTTATGAAATCGCGGCTCCACAAGCGCTCTGCACTAAGATCTGTGCGCGTTCCGCGCTTTAAAGATGTAAGACGTTAATCTAATGGGGAGCGAGGATGGGCCAAGTTGTGGGTTGTGGGGAAAGTTTTCTTTAAGGCGAAGATGGCGAGAGAACGCCGATTTCTGTCTCGTTCGTCGTGAAGACGATGTACTTGTCGATCCGTACAAATCGATGCCACTTTCCGCTTCCGTGACGAGGAAACGTCGCTCGCTCGCGCGCCACTTTTGCCTCTCTGAGTATCGGGCACTTCCAGTCTGCCGAACAAATGTTCAATCGATTATCGGGCGAGCGTCGTCGTTGCAGCCTCGCCTGCATCGCCATTTATCGAGTAGCTGTCGGGTTCACGTCGACGTCGCGGCGAATTTCTAAAGGCCCAAGATCCGCGTTTCACTCCTTCCAGACGTTATTATTATATTCTACCGCGCAGTGACTACGCGCAATGGCCGCACGTCAATCCTCAAGGCTTCATTTTCAATTAAGGAACTCTCCGACGATCGATATTTACAATCAGTCTGCTACAAGTACTAGTCTTTTAAAGTATAAGACAGCGACTTGTTAACCATTGAAGCTTAACTTGTCAAGTCGTATTTTTGTTGTAAGAAGCTCTGTAATAAGGATTCAATATAATTTGTTAATGAGAAAGCAAATTTATTGAAAAATGCGATAAGTTTTATCGTATGCCACACACATATTTAGGGGCCGATTCTGTAACTCTTAACGACAGTCGTTGATGTCGTTGCGCAGATATTATGTAGAGTAAAAAAGCTGCGCAATGACATCAACGACTGTCGTTAAGAGTTATAGAATCGGCCCCTTAGTTTGATTTAATTTAATTTAAATAATTAGTTATTTTTTATTTTATTAATTTATAGTAATAATTTTTGCACAGCAAATTGACAAACAATATATATAATAATTGAATTGTATGTAAATTCACACGATGCATTGTTGTACTTTGAATTATCGTACTTTGAAGATATAAGATTTAAAACATTCTGGCGCATAGAATATTGCGCTACTTTCTGAGTATAATTATCATATATTACAGATCATATTTATTTCAAATCCCGTGTTATTTTCTCATTAATATTTGTAAGAATTCTTAGTGTAATTGGGATAATTATTCTTTGGAATAAAATAATAAGGTAAATAATATGTAGCATCGTCGGATTTTCGTTACAAACGACATTCGTGTCATCTAATTAAATTATAAGTCAAACGAACAAAAAAACGTTTCCGTGGATAATTTAATTAGCGTTGAATAAAACAAACATCATTT